CAGGCAGATAGTTAAATAGCCATTGGGGCTAACAATGTTGTGGCTGGCGAGCACTTAAAAAAAGGTTTTTTTAAAAAATATATAGGGGTCAATATAATCTCCATATTAATGAAGAGAAGTTCCGGTGGAGGAGTTTAAATTAAATAATAGGGGGGCGGGATGTACAGACCACTATTCACCCCCATGCCCTCCACCTGTGGCCATTAGGTGTGGGCTACTTCCTAAACAGACACCCAATGGTGTCAGGTAGAGGCTACTATAATATAACCCAGGGGTGGACTTAAGAGTCCCCACCCCAGTCCTGACCCAAGGGGCTCTAAATAATTATGCAATTATATATATTTATAGGATAGGCTCTAAATGCATGTAAAGGAGGGGATGCATGTCATTGTCCACCCGCTAAAACTTTTACTATAGCCCTCCTCAAGGTAGCTGGGGGTCCCCAATCATTTAGCCACTAGCCATAAAATAAATTGATTGCAACGGAGTACTAGCTCTATTCCCTCCCAGGGACTGGACGACATACAGTCCTGGGAGCTCTAGTCCTTACAAGGACTTTCCCCACCGAATCCTCCTCCAAGAGCTGGAACAAGCCGGAACAGTGATTAGCCCTTTCCCCTCACAGTAAATAGACAACACATAGTTCTGGGAGTACAACTGGAATGCTTTAATCTGGCCAGATGGCCTGCTTATATGCAAAATCTGAGTACAGGGAACATGCTCAAAGCACACCCATAACCACACTTTTACTATGTCCAGAAAGTACAATGTCACAGTGACTCAGCATAAAAGTATAAAATATGAAAAACATAAAAAATAATTAAGTAATTTTATTGATTGCAATTTGAGGGACCTGCCTGACAACCGAGGCCGAAAGTCCAGAAAATGTAATTTGCTAGCACTGTATTTAGCCCTGTAACTTTCTATGACATCCTAAAACCTGTACTTAAGGGGTACTGTTTTACTCTGGAGACTTCGCTGAACACAAATATTAGTGTTTCAAAACAGTAAGACATATCCCTGTGATGATATTGTCAGTGAAAGTGATGTTTTTTGCATTTTTCACACACAAGCAGCACTTTCATTGATGATATAATTGTTGTGATACGATTGACGATTGATTGTTTTGCAACACTAATATTTGTCTCACGAGTCTCCCAAGTATAACAGTAGCCCCCATGTACAGCTTTTATAGTGTTTTTGAAAGTTACAGGGTCAAATACAAGGGTCAATTTTTTTACATTGAAAATTGCCAGGTTGGTTATGTTGCCTTTGAGAGTGTATGGTAACCAAGGAATGAAAATTACCCCTATGATGGCATACCATTTGCAAAAGAAGACAACCCAAGGTATTGCAAAGGGGGTATGTTCAGTCTTTTTTAGTAGCCATTTAGTCACAAACACTGGCCAAAGTTAGCCTGGGATGTCAGGTAAGTCCCCCCGTCGCCATCGCCAGCGTGGGATCGCCAGTGAGCAGGTAAGTCCCCTGGACGGCCGGGACGTATTATGCCGCCCGCTGGCATTTAGAGCTGGGTCCCCAAGGACAGCATAGCACGCCCGCCGACTTTAAGGGGTTAACATGTCTTTTACATGGCCCATAGTTCTTGGGCAGGAGGCTAGCCAGCAGGCTCCTCCAGGAGTCCGTGGCAAACGTACCTGGGAAGGAGTATTTGTCACACTGACCCTAGTAGTGGATGTATTAAAACTAATACCTGTTAATAAATAAATATATACTTAGAAGTCTTTGTTCTTCTAAGCCATGACAAATGGTTTTATTCATATTTATTTTGTGTGTTCTGAATTATATCTATGTATTAATTAAAAACTTTGGTTGTTTCAACCTCCAGCAGCACCCCTATAAAATAATGTAAAACTGTCTGTAGTAGTTATGGTGCTTGGAGTTTTCCTTTAATAAAGAACAGGAGGAAAAATAAAAAAGATGTCTAAAATAACTTTTCTAGAGTATTAAAAAAAATAATAATGGAGCCAGATTGATCTTGCATTAGTATCACATATACCAATAAAATATAACTAAAATTATCAATAATAGACCATGAAACATTGCACCACTAGTTACTACTCTGGAAACAGTAAAACAATGAAATGTCACCAACAGCATTTCTTCAAGTTTTTTTTAAATTAAATATCTTTATTGACAGGTGTTTAAGAGGGCAGTAATACAATACGTCATCAAGTTGCAGTAAAACAACAGTAATATAACCAACAACCATTATCTTCAAACGTTATTCCAAGCATCTCAAAAAAATTATTTTCGTTATTTCTTTCCCTCCCTTCCCTCCCTACCTTAGCTTAACCTTCGATCCCTATCCGGAAGTATATATTGTTGGTTGTGGAGATTGTGAGATTATAACATCGAGACTCGCAGGTCTCCACAGTTGTAGTGCGTAATCAGAACAACAATAAGCCACGTGTGTAAGCTGATGGGGTAACCAAACGGTTGCCAGTAAAGTGGCTCGTGGGCCCAAATGTAATTTGGGTTCGCAGGTCTCCAGTGGAATTGCCATGTGTACCTGAACAAATATACATGGTGGGGGTTAGTGGGCAATGTGTCACTACCAGTATTACATGGAGCAAGTAGCAGCCCGCTTATCTGAACATGTCTTGGGACAATTTGGTAAATGCATTTCTTCAAGTTAAGCCTAAACTGGAACTTATTTACAGACATAGGAGTGATTTCTGATGGATTGTACTGGGCACAAACATGACCCCATGCTGCTGTGGGAAATTAGAAAAGCAGGGGAGGATAGATCACATAAAGCCAAATACTGTGAAAAGCTAGCAGACATTGCACACAATCCCTACAAGGAAAATATAAAAATAACATTAATAAGAGCTAAAGGAAACTGTGAGATATAGTTGCAAGAAGGGAAAAAGGTCAGCTTTGTTTAAAATTTTACCAACATTATATCTGAGTGAAAGTTAAGTTAAGGAACTGTCGTCAAAGATTTAACTATGATTTTTTTTTATTATTCTTTATTTTTATTGTGCATGTGATAACAGACAAGGTTGGTACGCCACGATAGATATACCAATCCTAGTAGAGACATTCAAAGGAAAGTATTAACATGGCATCCATATGAACAGCACATTTTTAGGTTTTAGTTAATATTGTTTTTATTTTTTAAAAACTTGAATCTGAAGTGCTTTTTTTTAAATGAAAAAAACTATTAGACTTAAAGGGACACTGTAGGCATTGTCACATTTACATTTTAACAGTTTAACCAGTATAGCTAAGGGAGAGATTACTTCCCTAGCCACACCAAGTCATACCAGCAATGGGTAGCTGTGTTAGGCTGAGGGAGGTCAAATGAAATTCTTAGCAAATCAGTTTGCTCACTGCTGCACTGGTTAATGCTCAATCATGGGATGGGATGCCAGGGATTTTAGTTTAACTATTGAACTCAGTTTAAAGCTGATTGGAAGGACTGTGCCAGGGAACTCCAGGCTCTATAGCCAATTCAATGAAATGGTTATACTGCCTACAGTGTCCCTTTAACGTCATATACTGCCCTTGATTGCTTCACCTACCAAGCTGTGCTTACATGCCAGGCAGAGCAGCATGATCACCCACTTGGCTGCACTACAGTGCCAGGCAATGCTGAACCAGGAGAAGGGTGCTGTGTGCTGTATAGTATACTATTTATTGCAAATGTGCATTATATTGTTGATCAAGAGTAGCACGAACAGATGATAATATGTGTTACAAGTTCTTTTCAATTTTTGAGTGTCCATGAAACATGGGATGACCTTATAAGGTCATTAACATTGCCCACAAGAACATTGTATCAATAGCATTGACTTTATAATGCTTGCATGCACACTTTGTTGGTGCATATATAGAATGTATTATACATGTAAGACACAGACAATGAGATACTGACGCAGAGAACATCAAGTGCTGGGTGTCTCCACCTAACACTCTGAATGTCAGGCATATACCATCAGCTTTTGATCATTTTAACATCAATGACACTGTAAGAACTGACTCTGTTTGCAAAGCAAGAATAACAAATCTGTTTTCATAACAAAAGTCTGACTGTGTAGCATTTCTTTCTATATGACACAGAAGAACACATGAATAGGCAGGCCTATTTTACCAGGAAAATATACAGACATACATATAATATTAACAAAGTATTTAACCAGGAAAGGTTCCATTCAGATTGCTCTGGTTTCCAAGTACGTCCTGGGGATGTTACCTTAGCCCAACATCCAGGGGTTGTTACTATCACCCAATTTAATGGTACTCATTTTATCTACCTCGGAAGGATGAAGGGCTGAGTCAACCCTGCCAGGATTTGAACCTGCGACCCCCAAGGGTTAGAACAGATTCTGCTGTTGCATTAGCCCACTGAGCTATTTCACTGGCCTATGCAAATGTTTCAATTCATATTATTATTTTATTATTATTATTTTTTCATACATGTACCCCTTTTTGTCTGTGATTCAGTGTGGACCATACCCTCTCAGTTAGTATGGTACATTAATTTTGAACAGGATGAAATGGGTACAAATTGGGTTGAGATGAAGAAGTAGGCATTCTTCTTGGGAGGAGGGGAGGTGGGGGTGAGGAGGGGGGAACAGAGTTGTGCCTGAGCTCAAATCTGCTCGAGGTGCCGAATACCCTAGGTCAAACATGTCAAACTCAAAGGCTGGCAAGAGCCAATTAAACAAGGTTTAAGTTTATGTGGGCTGCAAGAAAACAAACATAAATTTTCACCCCCTCCACTAAACCCCTGCCCCACCTTGTTTACTAAATCCCAGTTGTCCCCCTCATCTACTAAATCCTAGCCCCCCTCATCTACTATATCCCAGTCCCCCCATCTACTAAACCCCTGTCCCTGTTTCAAACAAAAATTCAAAATAAATAAATTTAAAAACAGCCAACAAGCAGTGTCTGGAGTCCGACCTCTGGCATACCCCCAATGGCCCTATCCACACCTTTAAAAAGCGGATCCTCCCATTACTCCTTGAAACCCTCACACACACTCACTGAGACATACTCACTGACAGACACACACACACACACACACACAGACAGCCAAACACACATAGCCATGCACACAGACAGCCATGCACGCAGACAGCCATGCACACAGCCAGCCATATACACAGACAGCCATACACCTATACACACAGACACACACACACACACACACATAGCCATACACATACACAGCCATACACATAGACAGTCATACACACAGACAGTCATACACACAGTCATACACTTATACACACAGCCAGACACATACACAGCCATACACATATCCAGCCATACATACAGACAGGCATACACCTATACACACAGACAGCCATACACACACACACCCAGCCATACATACAGACCGCCATACACAAAGAAAGCCATACACACACACAGCCATACACCTATACACACAGCCATACACCTATACACAAAGGCCATACACATGCACAGCCATAAACCTATACACACAGACAGTCATACACACACACAGCCATGCACATACACAGCCATACACAGACAGACATACCCATACACAGACAGCCACTCACACACACACACACAAACACACACACCGCCATACACACAGACTGGGTTGGTTTCTTACCTGGGGTCTAGTGGGGCTGCTGGGCAGGCAGGGGAGCGGACAGGCAGTGAGGGAGCGCTGAGTGTAAGCTCTCCCTGCTCAGCTCCCTCGCGCGCCGCAATGAGTGCCGGAGTGACGTCATATTCCGGCTCCCGGCATCACTGCGGTGAGCTGAGCAGGGAGAGCTTACACTCAGCGCTCCCTCGCCTCATAAATATTCGTTGTGGGCCGCAAGTTTGACAGGTTAAACCTGTGCGTGTAAGGAATCTAATTATGTTTTTAACTCTGCAGCTTCAAGTGACACTCTATACATCCTAACCACTGTATCCAATTGAAACTGTTATAATATCCTGGCTCCATCCAAAGGTTCCGTGTCAACCCACTGAGTAAGGATCTCTAAGTGCTTGTGGCCATGGTTCTGACTGGAGGTATGGCTAAGGTGGAGTGTAACTCCACATTGGATATTCCAATAAATACTACCAACGAAGTGCAGCAGTCACAGCTGGTGCTCTCAGTTATCACTGCTGCCAATCACTGCTCAGGCTAATGTAGAAGTATTTTTTTTTTTTCAATTTGACAATTTTCATTGAGTCAGCTGGGTACAAAAAGAAGAGCGGGATGGGTGAATACCAGAACCCGGTGGACACAATACATTGGGTACAATACATTACCAATAGGTACATACATGACAAGTATTTGTTCAGTAATGTATACATATGTTCAATCCTATGCTGCACACAGATTTGATGGGGTGCGTATCGTCCTGGGCCTGGTGGCCGGACATGGGATGGCTAGTCTGTTTGAGTGGTGCCATGTGTGGTTTGGGCTCAGGCCTAATGCCACTTAAGTTGTCTACATTGTGCCTTGTCTAGTCACTCTGCCCACTTCAGTTATCTGTGCGGGGTCTATCTGTTAGCAGGCCTAGTGAGCCTCTGGCTATATTAGCCTATCTAAGGCAGCTTTTATCCATTCCCTCGTCCCAGCTGCTGGGCAGTCCGGCAGTGCCCTGTGGTAGGTTTTCGCTTTCCCCCCCCCCTTTTTTCGGGGGGGGGAGAGGTGTGCTTGTATAGTATTGGAAATGCCCTTGTGCCCCCCTAGTAAAGGTGGCATTCCGATGATTCTACTGTACCCCTGTTTCTCTCTTCAGTCTGCCTGCCCGCTGGGCTCATTTTCCTTTTTTGAGCAAGGGGGGAGGGGAGTGTAAAGAAAAGGTATCGTGAGTAACTATTTACAATGTAGGTTAGTTTCTTACGACTCTTGTCAGGGTGATCCCATCATTTAAGGGTGAGGCCTCCTCAATCGGATACGTCGCAGTACCCAGTACCTTTGTTGATTGCCATTGCCGAGTGTGCTGTGTTGCCTATTCTGAACCTTAGGCCAAGTGCTCCAAGTCCATCCCAGCTTTCTGTCCCCTTCACTTATCTATCTCCCCGTACCAGAGGTTTTGTGTCATGTTTAATTCATCATGTAATAAGATCCCTACAGGTCACTTCCGTGTGCAGTTGCGTCTTCCCTCGTCGCTCCCTCTTGATCAAGCCCGCATAAGGTGTGGGTATGTTCTGTGTGTTTTTGAGCGTTAGTGTAGGTGTCCTATATGTGTTTTTTTTGGCTAATATATCTGTGGGCCATTAACTCGTAATCCAGGTTCAGGGTAATCTGCGCTGTAAGGACAGTGAGACCCGGAATTTCCATAGATTTCCATGCTCTGGCTATCAGCAAATTTGCTGCCATGAGGACATGGAAGAGTAGGGTAGAGGCCGGTTTTGAGATGTTTTCCAATGGCATAAATAGGAGGCATAAACCAGGTGTAAGTGTGATGCCTGTCCCCAGTGCAAATGGGGGGGGGGTTGTGTGTGAGGAGCGCTTTTAGTTGGAGGTATGAGAACAGCACCCTCATTGGTAGTTTCAATTTATGTTGGAGGTCTGGGAATGGTATTATTCCATTGTCTCCAAACAATTGGCCGATGGAGGCACAGCCTCCCTTCTGCCAAGGTCTGTAGTCGAAGAATGGGTTAATAGCATGCACGCAAGATATAGGGGCATCTGGAAGCCACAAATGTTTCTCACCCATGGTTTGTTTTAGTCTGCCCCATGTATGGAGGAGCAGGTCAGTAGTCCGCAACATTTTTGGCATGTTCGGGCGTTTATGTTTGGGTATCCAGAAGAGAAGGTGCAGGCCCTTTGGGCAAGACCAATGCGACTCGAGTTCAATCCATTGTGGGGGGAGGGTCGCTGCATGGGAATCTATAACTGAGGCTAGCAATGCGGTCCTGTAGTAGTTTTTAAATGTTGGGCAGTCCAAGTCCGCCGTGGTCTAGGGGTTTGTATAGTAGTTTCGAGGAGACTCGGATCTTTCGGTTTTCCCATACAAATTGGGTTAGTATAGCCTGGAATTTTTCTAAATAGGTCTTGGGGATAGATATTTGAAGCGTTCTGAGCAGGTATTGGAGTTTAGGAAGGATGGGCATTTTCACTGCAGCTATCCTGCCAGGCCAGGTTAAGAATTTAGATTCCCACCCCTTTAGTGTTTCGGCTATGTCCCTTAAAAGTTTCTCATGGTTGTATTTCAGTAGATCGGTCAGGTTTTTTGTGAGGTTGAGTCCTAAAAAGGTGATGAAATCAGATCTCCAGTCAAAGGAGAATGATGCTCGTAGTGTGTGTAGTATTTGGTGTAGAAGTATTTTAAGCATCCATGTTGAGTGAGGAAGTGGAACATCAGGGAAGTATATCTGGTTTTGTAACTGCATCTGATTTTGAAGAGATTTTGCATTTGAACTGAAACCATTGCAATGTAAATATCATTGAAGGGCTCACCAGAGAGATCTACCATGAGAGTTCTTCTACTAATAAGCAAGATCTGTGATTTTCTACAAACAAAATGTAACGTACGTTACTTTCCAAGCCAGTTTTTTGAATAGACAATCACTTATTGGCTGAGTTAGCATTTAAATCTCTCATGTTAAAATTAGTGTAGGACCCACCTATCTATATTAGGGTCTGGTTACATAGTGGTGGGCTTAATACAATATGGCTATATAGTTTAACTTTAAAGTGTACTTTAATTAAGCGCTTAAAGTTTTAAAGTGAATATCAGTGCAAAACACTCAAATGTGGGAATACCCCTTGTGACGAAGTGCCCTTCGCCACTTGTGCCTGGAGAGGACTAATTACCAGCCTCTTGCCGTATGACTATGGTCCCTGGGAGATTTTGCCCTTTAAATTCGTTATTTGGGCATAGTGGATTTTATTAGACTGGTTCTGGCCCTTTAAATGCACTGACAAAGCATCTGCAGTTTTGCTATGCACTTAGGATGCAGAGTATGAAGAAAACCCCTGCTTTATGGACTTAGTTTGACTGTTTTATCCGCCCCCCTCCCCCTCTTAGAACACCAGTTAAACCTTTAATAACTGTCATATTTTCAAACACTGTCTGACCCTTTTAACTGTCATTTTGTTTTCCTCTGAGGAGGAGTTGTTTTGCTGCATGAGTGCTGTTGCTTTTGTGTGCTCATTAAACAGACTTGCTTGACCCTTTCTTGAAGCCTTGGCTCATGCTTTGGGGATGGGATAAGTCTGCAGTGCTGATGGTGTCGGTTGGAGTGCTTGGAGTCCTCGGCAAGCACTAGGAGCATCGATTGGCAGAGGTACTTGGTGGGAGTGCCAGGGGGTCCGTCACACCCCTATACCCACACACAGATAAATATACAAATGTGATAAAAGTGACAGAGTGAAGATCTGCAAAAAGTGCAAATGCAGCTGTTCTTACCCTTAATTAAAATGTTATATCACGAATATATTGGGTACATAAAAGAAGGAAACAAAAACAAGTATATAGTGTAGAAGGTAATACACATAAAACTAGAAATGATAATTGATAAGATCCACTCACATGGATCAGAGCCTGTAACGACTGGCTCTGTAATTGACACCTTTATGCCTTTATGGTAGTATACACAGTAGCACGTACAGTGTCTAATACCAGCAAAACTCAATTTCCTCTCTCTGATCACCACCTCTTATTATTTTCTCTCGAGAGCCCCCTCACCCAACAACCTTAGCCTAACCCCCCTCAACTCAGAAGGAACCTTAATTCTGTTGACCTCCAGCAGCTGTCAGCTGATATTGATTCACAACTCTTATCCATCCCTTTCCTGTCCCTCACTGGCCATCTCCCCATATAACACTACCCTCACCTCTGCTGTTAACGCTGTAGCCCTGCTCCAAACATGCACCTCGAGGAGGACACGCCCCCAACCATGGCACACTAAACCAACACGCTACCTGCAAAGATGGTCCTGTTGGGCTGAACGCTGCTGGAGGAAGTATCATACCCAGTCGGACTTTCTCCATTATACATTCATATTGTGGTCATACATGCCACTGTAGTGCACATCCTCAAAAAAAACATCTCTAAACCCGTTCTCCCCTAATAACTATCGTCCCATATTCCTGCTCCCTTTTTCCACAAAGCTACTGGAAAGACTTGTCTTTACCCGTATGTCTCACTTCTTCATTTCCAACTCTGACCATGACCCTCTCCAATCTGGCTTCACCCCCGCCACTCTACTGAGACTACTCTTATCAAAGTTACTAACGACCTAATCACAGCCAAATCAAAAGGCCACTGCTCCATACTAATT